GCTAAGCCAGGTCTTTCTCGATGGCCTATCTCGTGTGATTCCAATTCCGATGAACTGGCTAAGTTCACCTATATGCTTCACTTCGAATTTGTCCTCGAGCGATTACCTAATTCGGTAGGCATAGGTAGCTTCAGACGTATAGTAAATAGCCAGGAAATCGTCAACAAACACTATCACAACCACGTGGCTATTAGTATATAGGGTAGGATCCTCTAGGCAAGGGTAGAGACCGACGGTAGTAAGCACCTTTCTGATATCATCTTCCTACTTCTTACTAGCTATTCTTAGGCTATATACTGCTTTCTTAAGCTTTAGGATCCTTCTAGTAGATCCTAGGCCCGGTGGGTAGCGGTAGTAAACTTCTTGGTCTAATTAGCTATTCAAGAAAGCGTTAACTGCATCTATCTAAAAGGTCTCGAGGTCGAATTTGGTCATAAGCGCTATAAGCGTGCGGAAGGTTCTAGCAGCTAGCGTACTAGTCCTCGCGTCTTGAAGATCAGGTGATTGTATATCGCCTCGCATACATAATCTAGCTTTAAATCTAGTCAGATTGCCTAGTTAGTCCGATTTATAATCGAAGACCCAACGTATAGGGATGAACTAGTGCCTAGGGCAATCTCTCTGGCTAGCTGATTGGCTACACTCTTTTAGATGAGCTTGATTGATGAGATGAGCCGATACTGGTTTGAAGGCCTGCATATCTAAAAGCTTCTGAAATTCGACCTGCATAGCCTGTTTGAATTCACGCCGATATAGGTGATTATACAGATAATAGTAGTCTTCTAGTAGTGGTGGTAGAGATGAAATCGATAGAGGTTTTGGAAGGATCTAATTAGCCGAAAACGTATGGAAATAGGCGGCTAAAGCGTGCTGTCGCTTATTATCGTGGCTATCATCAGACGAATCCTCCCTTTCGTGCTTGCCTAGATTCGATAGGAGATAGGCAGAGTAGTCGAAATCGGAATTATCTACTAGAATAATTAGCGAAGGTGGGCGGTCAGGGACGTTAATATCAGGATCGTCCGATTTAGGAGATTCAATAGCAGATTCGATAGGGGTAGGTAGTAGATCCCCTAGGATTTAGTCATTTTGATCGTTTTCAATAGGAATTGAATTGCCTATATCTCTACCCCCGTGGCCAGATAGGTCCTCTCGCTGTTGATTGGTTGGTTCAGGCACATCTATCTTATCTAGGATCTGTGAGGCAGTTACATCGTCAAGGATTTGGAGCCGTTAGGACGAATCGTCAAAGATTTCTATGCGATGAGGAGGGCTTTCGTCGCTATAGAAACGCGTTTTATCGAATTCAACGTCGCGTGCGCGGACGATTCGGCGCTTCGAGGGTATCCAAATTCGCCATATATTAGATACATCGTAGCCAACTAGATAGCTAATAGCTGCTCGAGGGCTTATCTTCGATAGCCGCGGGATATTAGTGATCCTAACGAAGGCTTTGCATCCAAAGATTCGTATATTAGATAGATCTAGCAATTACTTTAACTAATGAGGGGCCTTCTGGCTAAGATAGCCAGCTAAAGCTTCAGATAGCGATTTCTAATCTAGTAGGCGGTGTGGGATCCTATTTTGAATATAGATAGCAGTGAGAGAGGCCTTATTCTAAAGATAGGTCGGTAAGCTAGTATCTTGGATCATCTGCCTAGCTATAGCAGTTATAAGCGCTCCGTAGCGCTCCGTATAGGGGTTTTGAGATAGTTAATAAGGCGGAGAAAGCTCCAAATTCAGACTACGAGCCCTAGATTCGGCCGAAAGGCTAGGTAGGAGGGCGGTCTCGCCGTCGGTGTGCACTATCAGGACCTTTAGGTCGAATTAGGTCTTAACGAATTAGATTTGGCCGAAAAGGGAAGTGGCCGAAAGGGTCTTATCGGTAAGATCCTCGCTAATCTGATATCTCGTGACAGGATCCACGTAGTGAGATAGATATCTAGTCCTGGCTAGAGATAGCGTTTGATAGATTAGATCCTAGTGGATAGATTCGAAAGGCCTGGTGGATTCGATCGGATAGCGAGATATCTGCTGTTTAGCCTTAGAAACCTTGCAAACCTCACAGATATTAGCTGATTCGGTAGTTGAATCGATTAAGATATTAGATAAGTGATTAGCCAGATGTAATAGGATCTCTTGATTTATATGACCTAGGCGCCGGTGCTAGAGGTCAATTAATCCTTTTGCTCGATTTGGTGTGTAAGAAGATAGACCGAATTGGCCGAAATCGTTAGTTAGATCCATATCTGACACGCTAGGAATCTTAGAGATCTGATTAGCTGAATTAGTAGGCGATTCGATAGCTATACTATCAGCTGTTGATTGATCCTATTTGATTAGATAGAGACCAGATTTGCTATTTAATCGGCAAACAGGTTAGCTATTCGAATCCTGCAGTAGGCTATCTTTTCCTTGCAGAAATAGACCTCCGTTAGCGGCTTTCTCGGCAGATAGGAGATTTAGATGGAAACCAGGCGCGTATGCTATATTAATTAGGGCGATCTTGGTTCTATCTAGGCTATCTGTAGGCCGGAAGCTGGTTTTCCCGAAGCCTAGTATAGCCGTTTCCGTATTTCCCACTCTCATAGAGGAAGCTGCCGGCTGATAATCGGTTAAAAGGTCAAGATTGTTGCAGATATGCAAGGTTAATCTAGTGTCAAAGTACCACACATCGTTGGCCGGTTAGTTAGTATAAATCGAATTATATGCACGATTGGCCTGAAGAAGAGACGAAACCTTCTGTTTAGGGACGTACGTGCCAAACGCAGCCCTAGTAGATTCTTCTTCATCTGACTTAGCCGCTGGCTGATTAATCAAATCGGTTGAATTAGGCCGATGCCTAGCAATCGTATATTTATAGGCACTTTTGAATTTAACGCTGCTTTTGCATGCATTCTTGAATCGATCTTCTGCTGCTCGGTCTGGTTTCTAATTAGGTGGCCTGACCGATGGATTAACGTATACGCATTTATCGAATTTATGATAGCTATCGTTTGGTTGACCTTCATATAGGCAAGGGTGCTTCTGGCCCCTAGATTAGCCGGATTAGCTAGATTGGCTAGGATTAGTAGGCGAATTGCCGCTATTAGCAGCTTCTGTCCTATCGGGATTTCTGCCTAGGAAGGTCGTCCTATAGGCAAACCTACCCTGGTGAATTAGCGGAGACAGCCGAATCGATTCCGAATAGAGGTTGATAAGGGCGGGGAACTCTGGCAATTTGCTAGTTGAATAGACACCGCTTTGCTCATGGATTCGATTCATCCAAATCGTATAGAAACTAGGCGACAGAGGCGCGATAGCCTCTAGGAATTCATAGAGAATTCGCTTAGTATCGTCGAATTTAGATAGGCTAATTTCTTTAGCTTCTGTGTAGCAAACTAGCTACTTTTGGACCCACGAATCGTAATTGGACCTAGGGGGCGCTTGCGTGCGCAGATTAGACTAAGTTTTCGAGATCTGGCGCTTCCGAGACGAATTAGTAGGCGCATATATTAGACGAAACATGTTAATTACGTCACGTACGTTGGCCTGAGACAGGATCAATCGCTTATTATTAGTAGAAACTGAATTGCGAATTCCCTATTTCAGACGATCTACCCCTTTCTAGTAGTGACGGAAGCGATTTAGCTAGCGGTTATACTCGCGAGAGATTAGATTATATCTCGTAAGCGCTTCGCCGGCTAGATTAGGAAGGTCCGCTAGGTCGATTTCGGGATAATCGGGTTCTAAAGGGGGCTTCCTAAGGCTTTCAACTAGTACCTTAGGGTTGATATAGTCCTATAGACCCTACGTAACCGCTTAGTCCTTCACGGCTGCATACCACTAAATCTAATCGGTAGAGGTCTTCAGATGAAAGACCAACTAATTAGCTTCTGTAGCTATGATGAAGAGTGAGACGGAAGTAAACGATAGTTCGATGAAAAGTGAAAAAGCAAGGATAATAGACGGATACGACCGGTCGAGGGCGTAGCCAAGCTGGTTTGGCCGAAAGAAGCCGTCCGGTTAATTCGAAGTCTATTTAGTCAGAGCGATCGGGCTCATAACTAACAGATCCTAGTGTATCCGATGAAAAAGGATCCACATAGGACGTTAGGATGGCCAGTCAAGATAGAAGTTCTTCTAGCGAATAGGACCAAGATAAGACGGATGGACCTTGAGTTCATAAGATCTTCTCTAGGTATGACGGTCAAACGAGATCAAAAGGATCGACTAAAAAGTGCATTTAATCTGAACTGCTAAACTAGCGAGCGAACGGGTGTTTAAGTACACGGTTGGGACAGTTCGGCAGCAGGAAATAGGCCAAATCAATGATCTAATCGATGATTCGATCATATATCGATGATCTGACCAATTGATAGATTAGGAAGGAGCTGGATGTTAGAATCCGTGGTCGATTGGTAGCTAATTAGCCATGGTAAAACTCTCTGTTGAAGAGGTATATGCAGAGGGGTCCTTCTGCGGGAAAAACGATGGTCCGGTCCGGGCCGTTGGCTGGCGGGCCGCTGGTCAACCAACCTCACATAGCCATACACACACATATATAGGCTGACAATTAAGATAGGTACTTTCTAGGCATCTTAAAAGAACGCCAAACAGGAAGAAAAGTACATATAGAGATATTCATTCAGGGGAGTATAAAAGCGCACGAAGCTAGAAAAGGATAGTTTGCTATATCAAATCGAACCCCTTATTCAACTACACGTAGCTTAGAGATCAGCTAATCATAGCAGGAAGTCAGCCAGTTTCGGCAGGGATTCAGGTATTAACAGGGATATGATCAGTATTATTAGCTACGGCTGAGCGATCTGAGGCACCGGCCGGATCTTGAGTCAATCCACTAATCCGGAACAGGAAATCGTCACGCTCTTAGCAAGAGAGTCGAAATCGCCAACTTTTCGACGGTAAGGTACGACAGCAGAATCTATTCTGGTGTCATGAGACGCATTGTCTGGCATTCCTGATTGACCAGACAATAAGCTAGAACAACCTTGGCGGATTCAAATGATGTTTGGTGTCACAAACTTAAATGCTGACTGGTACATGGAGTCGCACTCTAGGTAGGCTGAGTAAGAATTTGAATTTTTGACGGTGATAGCGTAGCCCTGCTGGGCGGCGAATTCGTTGAGGATAGCCCTGGCTTCCTGGCTAGAATCGACCTGAATTAGCCAGTTGTTCGGAGGGGGTAGAAGGGCCATCTTGAATAGAAAACGTAGCTGTTTTGAAATCTCTGCAGATTTGAGCGATTCGGATAGGTGTATGTAGTGATGAGAGAGCCATAGTGATAGGGGTTTGGTATGCGAAGGGGGTTTGGTATGTAGTTTGTTTTGAAAACAAAGATTATGAAAAATATTGGCATATATAGGTCACGTGATTGAGTCGCGGCTGACACTCAGTGCAACCGCAAGAAGCGCTTATGTATAGGAATATGCATACATAAGGACTTGGCAGTGTTTAGGCAGGCGTCGAATGTTACTTTTGGCGGGTGGGGCAGAATGTTCCGAATTATGCTTAGTTTGTCGTGCAATAAATTTGAATGTCGTGCAATTAATAAAATCCTAAAAAGAATGGGGTGGATGCAGTCAAATCGAACGGACCTAAAATCAGAAGAGTGGGGCCATACAAAATAAATCGAATTGACCACCATTCTATTTACCGCCATGGGTTAGGCTATATATCATGCCTCTAGGAGCTCTACTATCTTCCTGAGAGCAAAAAAGTTTCTGGAACTCTGCTAATTCGTTCTAGGTATCAAACTCGTTCCCAGGAGTAGGTGGGGATTCCTATGGGAATGTGAGGAGCTTCCTCACGTTTAGGGGAACCAGATAGGCTATGTGGGCCCTCCACATCATATCTCCTCACTTATTGCTTTATGTCTACGTAAAGTAAGAAGTCCTAGCTGAATATCGACCTTGAACAAGAGATACGTCCCTAACACGCTATAAGACTGTTATTACATTTATTGGCACGATCAAAAGGCCGACGTATCGATCCACGAGACAGTCGCGGGGACCGTCACCGAGCCATTGATAGGCAGACCCTCAGCTTTTTAGTAGTCAGTTAAGACAGCAGAAGAATGGAATGGGGGTAGGAGTAAGTACCGCCGCTAGTAGTCAGATAGAGAATATTCTCGTCAGTGGGTAACCGGCCGAACTTGCCCGCTGACACGCCCGCCAGAACGGTTGAGGTGTTGCTGCCAGCAATGACTTTGGCGGCGGACCACTCGGGATACACGACGCTGAGCTCGTCCATCTGGTTCTGAGCGATGAAAGCAACGCCGTCTTTCTTGAATACAAAATCATCCGCCTTAGGGACATTGTTGACGACAACTTCGGACTTGCCGAGTGGAACGCCCTTATCCGTAATGCGAATGCGGTTCAAAGAACCGACGGCCGTGTTTGTCCAGTAAAGGTAACCATCGTGGATTTTAATACCGTTAACGCCAATGTTGATCGGCGGGTTCGGGATAGAGTTGAACTTCATCTTAGTATCGTTGACGGCCACCATGTTGTGGCCCGTCTGCGTGTCGACGCGGTACACCCAGCCATTGTAGGAATCGGCGGCGAGAACCGATGTGTTGGATAGGGTAGTGAGACCGTTCAGGAAGTCTGAAGTAGTGATATCAGCCAGCTTAGAGACGGTTGCGTTAGACGCAACTTTGCCGGTCGACGTCGAGTAAGTAAATGTGGTCATATCAATCTCCCAGACGCTGTTGACACCCGAGGAGAGCAGAAAGCTATCATTGACAAAGCCCGAAACCACCACATAGAATTTATCGGGGGTTGTCTCAGAGATACCCAGACAGCCCATGTAAGTCGCCGGGTCCCAAGAGGCGACTATAATGGGTGCCTTCACGCCGGTCGGGTCGACCTGGAGGACTTCAGGGGTGTCAAGGCGCGAGACGAGGATCTGGCCGTTAGCGCGGACCGCCAGGTTCTCGGCCCAAGTACTATTACCGAAGCTGTAGAGAACGTTTACATCGACTCGTTGGATGGCAAAGGCTGTAGCTAGCAGGGAGCATGCTGCCAGAGCCAAGGAAAGAAGACGAGACATATGGAGCTGATTGGTGGTGTTCCGTTATGGAGGAGCGGCGAGACGGAATATATATGCCGGCCATTGGGGGAAGGATAAAGGAGTTATATATGCCCTGTAGTCGGGCCCAACCCCGTTCGGGTATTCGGCGCCCACCACTAATGAACATTCCAACCCTAACGAATAATTAATAGAAAATGTCGATTAGGGTTGGAATGTTCATTAGTGGTGGGAGCCCCAACACCCGAATTAGATAGCAGGAGCCATTCGCGTAGGCTTATTGAGATGGCCTGGATGAACTAAATTACATAGTTAGACTCATTAATCGATAACAGGCCGCTTCGTTTACACTAGGCCTCTGCACGGGACCGAAAAGACCGCAACCACTGCGCTTTAGTGCGGTCCTGCGGTCCTGTAAACAAGACAAACATATAATATCACGTGATAGGCAGATTTATGAAGATTTCGTCTGCTTTAGAAGTGTATCAGAAGGTATATTATATACTTTCAAATATATATGTTTCCCAAGTGGTCTTTCGACTCAGTTCTGACGCCGTTTGATTGGCTGTGGGTGTTGACCGCTTGCGGGTAGTTCTGCCGCCTCACCCCATCAAAATTTGTGTACTTCCGCTGGCTATGTATGTTGACCGCTTGCGGGTAGTTCTGCCGTTCACCCCATCAAAACCAAAATCCGTTGTCTGTCTTTTTTGGACTTTGGGCCACTTTTTCTCCTCTTTTGTCAAGGTATTCTTGCGTGGCTTACGTAGACAGTGCCAGTTTTTCTTTTTAGTGGGTGACGGTTCGACTCCGCCCTACGCTGGGGTTTTTTTGGGGTCGTCTGATATACGTATCCTTTTCGTATTTTTGTTCTCAAGGAACTATTGAATATTCAGTCTATTTTCTCTCAATCTCTTTCTGCCGCTGCTCTTCCCGTTGAAACGCCGCTCGCTGCCGCCGCCGCCGCCGCTCCTCGCTCGATAATGTCCCCTTTATTCTACCGTGGGTCGTGAAGTATACTTCACTAAACCGCTTCTGCTTCCGCCTAATCTCTTCGAGGTCTCTATCTAACGTTGCGCGGTATAGCTCCGCCTTCCGCCGTAGGATGCCTTTCCGGATAGAGGCAGGGATCTCTAGTGGATGTTAGAAATCTTTACAGTGACTAGCGTATACGTTTGACTGACCTTAACGTATTCGCTTCTACGGCTCGAGCAGTATCGGCATTTTTTCCGACCTCGGCCCCTATCCTATTCGCAGTCAGGGATATCATATCGCCCGTTTTTGATATTAGCCTCCTATATATTAAAACATCGCACACAAAGATCCGGTGTATCTTGCTCCGCCGCAATACTGCTTCCTGCCCGGCTGTTTGTACCGCTGCTTTGCTGGGCTCCACTATGAGTCCCGCTGCTAGCCTCTACGAGCGGAATTCTGTTCGATAGCCGGAAAACCTCGGGCGTCTGTTGACTGTATTGAGACTACTCGCCCTTATCCTCTTTCATAGTGCGGAGGATCTCCTGAATCTCCTCAAGGAGAAATTCAATTCGCTGTATCTTTATGAACTTCATAATATATTATTTACCTGCCTATATAACTCGAGGTTAACGTAGCAATACAGAAAGTATCCCTGTTCGTTTCTCCTGTCCTGTAGAAATTTCTCTTTTGCAGTAGGACGCTAATCTCTTCTAGGTAGTTTCCCCGTCCCGGGTTTTGACCTACGCGCGGATATATCTACTCACTACCGCGGTCTACTAACCGCTCCCTCTACTTATCATCTATTTAGTACCTAATATTATTAGGATAATCTCTTCTGGGTAGTTTCCCCGTCCTGCGTTTTGACCCGCGCGCGGATATATCTACTTACTACCGCGGTCTACTAACCGCTCCCTCTACTTATCATCTATTTGTTACCTAATATTATTAGGATTTCTACGAAACTTATATAGCTCATCGCGGTTATATCTCTAAATATACGGGTATATAACCGCTTCTATATCGCCTACTATATCTTGCTACTTCTATTATTCTGTTTTGAGTATGCCTTCTATTACTGCTTCCTTCTATCGCCGTTGCGGTATTCGCGCTACAATAAAGGGCCGTGTGTCGCTATGCCCTATCTGTGTTACAGATACTACTACTAGCGCCCCTCCGTATACTAGCCGTTCGCGTTACTATACGTCCTACGGTCTTTCGATTTTGGTCTCTAAGCGGAAGACCCGCTATAATACCTGTACCTTACCTCCGCCTCTACGCTCTGATTCGGCATCACCGATTACTATTAATACTACCTCGGATATTCCTACGCTTTCCTAGCGTTTAGTAGACCTCTCTATTACTCCTTCTGTCTCTTCTTATCTTCTACTATCTCTATCGCCTAAGCCCCTAGCCTTATAGGTACTACCGGCCCCTACACCAGCACGCCCTCCTAGGGTTCGCTGTCTACGATATCCTCGACTATATAACTCTACAGTACCTTCGGACTTTTGCCGTCCCTGCCGCATTGAGATACGGTAGTCTCCTCCTTAGCGTATTATCCCTCGCGGTTAGAAGTCTTCTACTGTTATATAGGTCCCGCTTGACTTTAGACGTATAGATATCGAGTACGAATACTGCGGTGCTTTATTTTAGGCCGTAGAGGTTTATACTACTGCCGATAAACCGTCCTAGGAATCGTGTTGCAAGCGCGGTGGTATCCCGAATCATCCTCTACCTAAACCCCTACGCCTAATCCGCTATCTCTTTACCTCTAACTCTTAACAAGCGTTACTCTTCCGTAAGTAGATCCGTACTTTGAACGCTGCCCTTGTATATACCTCGATTAGGTACCGTCAGGACCCTCGGCTTGAAGTATATAAAGCTTTCTATATTTTTCAGATCCAGGGCGCGATGTATTATCTGCTTAGCCCGTTAGCCGGCGAAGCGCCTGCTTTTACCTAGATGTACTTCCTTAACCCTGCAAGAGCAACTAAGGAGCGCCTACGGTTTAATCTAGGGTGACGCTGTTGGCACGACCCGGGAAGTCTGCTCGCACGACCTGGGGCCTGAATTTGGCCTGAATTACCGCGTTTCTGCCTGATTTCTGCCAAGCCTGTTAACCCTGTTAATTACAATTTCAACCACCTCCTTCCTTCTTACGTACACGCATCCTTTCCTCTAAATTCAATTTAACCAGCCCTATCACATGACCTTAGGCCTACCCTCCTAGATTCACATAACCTATATACTAATTTAATTCAACTTTCCTCTTCTAAGACTAGCCTATAACTACCCTACTTCTTACCAACTATAGATTCTTCTGCTAATTCAGACCAAAACCCCCCTCTAAAATCTATTATACCACCTACTCTACTACCTAATCTAAAGCTTTTTTATGAATCCCGTGACCTCGCGAAGAAGGCCCTCTAGTAATCTGCTAAAGATAAGGGTTTTGCCCTAGTTATAAGGAGGTCTAATGCTAAAAGGATTAAACTATCTTGTTGCCTTTGGCCTGATCCTACTATAAAGGGCCCTTCTATTGCAAGTAAGGCTAAACAGCGAGAGGTTAACAAGATTAGTACTAATTGCCTATTCCAGATTCATATTTCTGAGCGGAAGGATAGGAAGAAGGTTCTTCCGATTCAACATGAGGTTGTGGTAAAACATAGCACACATAACTATAGCCCAATTCTACTAAATCTTCTGGTAAAACTTCGGCAAGAAGAGAGGGATTCTAAGGAAGGTAGACTCCTTGATTACTTTGAAAAAGGCCTAAAACCTATGGTAGTTTCAATGCTTTTAGAGTCTGAGAAGAGTCTACTAAACTTGAAAGACCTCCAAAACCTCCGCGCCCGAACTAGATCAGTTTTTCTTACCGGACGCACATCGATTGAAGCAGTGATTAAGAGCCTACCGAGCTGGACTATCCAGTATGAATTAGATGACTAACGGCGGCTAATTAGAATCATATTTCTCTCGAGGATTGGCCTCGAATTTCTTCGAATCTATCCGAATCTTCTATGGGTAGATGCTATATATAAAACTAATCGGTAAGATAAGAGATTAGTATACGAATAGTGAGAGTTTATAGCTAATTAAAATAGGTATAATATGCTAATGATCAATATCGTCGGACAAACCTCAACAAGGAAAACCTTCTACGTGGCCTATTGCTTTGTTAGTAATGAGCAACAATCGTCGTATCTTTGGACATTTTAAACTCTCTACGACTAGCTTATATAAGCAAAGATCCAAGCCCCACGTGTTATCTTCTCCGACGATACAGACGCCGTTTTAAATGCATGTAGGGAGATCTTCAAGGATTCAACTAGCCTAATCTGTCTCTGGTATATCATGAAGAATATTGAAACACGCGTTCGGCTAATAATTGCAAAGCAGTTACTCTCTTAGGACCTTCACCTTCCTAATTCAGACCACTAAAAGCGGATAATTAAGGAATAGCAATCAATAAAGGCTAGATTTATGCAAATCGTCCTCGAAGGCACCGAGGATAGGATAGAAGCAAGAAAGGCCTCTTTTCTAGAAGCCCTAAGCGACCTAATCTACTAATCAGCAACCGAGTATATTAAAAAGCAGTGGTTTGGCGAGAGGGCAAACTAATTTATGCGCTGCTATCTCAACGGAATTCCCTATTATGATGAGCTTACTTCTTCTCGTATAGAAGGCGCCTATACAAAGCTTAAGCGAGAAATTTATACCTTAACTAGCGACATTCTTGCGACTATGCAAATCATTTCTCGCGTCGTTTCCTATATAAATTTGCAGGCTTTTCACTTAATTCAAGATTAAATCTATCGTCGCCCTGTCTCACTGCAAGTCCTATTTTTGCGTAATCTCCTTGGCTAGATCTTAAGAAGTGCAATTCGAAAGGTTTATCACACCTGGCAGGATTTCCTTCGAGCAGAGAAGCTACTACCTCCTTGCACCTAATATCAGACGAGATCTCTTGGTCTTCTATGTAATCATATAATCAAAGATCGTATAGATAGTGGTAACTTCCTTCTCCTATCTGATTTTGACCAACAACA